CCCACCCACCCACTAGACACGTTGTTCCGGCTTTAGTGTTGCTTGTAGGGCTGCAGCACCCAAAGGCCCGGCCAGGATTCGAGGCTGTTACCCGAATACGGTGCCCGCCAACAGGAAGCAACTGTCCCTGTCCCAGAGAGGGGAGGGGGTCCCAAGAAGCCCCCCAATACTCCCTCTGGGTCCATGCATCACTCACCTCCTTTCAGAGAGTCTGGCTCACCCTCCTTTGCAGTGGGACCGAGCTGGCGGGGAAGCCAAACATACACAAACCAGGGTCTGCACAGCCAGCCCAAACAGATCCGATTGCTGTCGGTGGTGACCTAGTGGAGAGGCATAAGAGAACTTAGTCCCCTCCTTTTCCTCCTCCCAGCTGGTTACAGGGCTGGGAGGGAGGGGGAGGGGAAGTGGGAAAAGATTGGCACAGCCCAGTCAGAGAGGGGCCGTGGAATGGCCCAAGTTACACACCCATGCCCGGCTGGTGTTGGAGGGATGAGCAGTCCCCCAGGGCAAGCAGGGGCGGAGAGCTGGGAGCGTTAGGAAGGGAGGGATCTTAACTTGGAAAACAGTCCTGCAGAAGAATGGAAATATGTGCACAAAGCTTGGATCAGCTTCTCAGCCTCTGCTCACTGCAGGGGGTTCGGGGGGGGGGGGGGAATCTGTGCTGGGCTTGGCACTGCATCCTATTAGCGCTGGCAGCACGGCGTGCCAGACACCCGTGAGCATCAAAGCACGGGAATGGGGGCCACAAAGACCCAGCCACGTCGGGCAGGTTTGCTCTGTGAGACAGGTCAGTCACCTCCCTCATAGCGCCTAGTATGCAGCCTAACCTCAGCATCGGCAGGCAGCTCGTGGCTGAGCAAGATACTACTGAAAACAGGCCGAGGGTAGCAGCAATTCCCCCAGAAACCAGACAACACAGTACAACAGAACTGAACGAGGCCAAGAATTCACAAAACCCCACCCCTGTAAAACTGCAAGCCCCAGAGTGGTTTGTGGCAAATGTTCACGTGCTGAACACTCCCGAGTTTTTCTGTGCATCTCACCGGGTTCGGGTTTGGTCCTGAAATAAATAATAATAGTGCCACCTAGCTCTGGCCTAATGCTTTTCATCAAGAGATCTCAATTGGGACACTTGCCAAATTCAGATCTGGACCTTTATTCAGATGTTGGACAGCCTGGGTGTTTGCATGAGTGGAAGTTTGGCCACACCATCAGTACAAATACATCTATGCTCTAGCATGGGATTTCCCATGGCCAGGACCCTGATTTTCTGTCTCATCAGGTGTCACCTCCTTCACCACATATAGGACCGTTGGTTCAAGGGGACATGCTCCCTACTGACTCAATCTACCAAGATCATGTCCTGTTTCACTATAAGTTCCACTTAAGGCCACCCCACCCTACCCACCAAGCATGCTCTCTGTGCTGCGGCTTGGTTCCCACCTCTTGCAAGCACCCGCTCCTGGTCAGGTGTGTCTGCAGTCTCAGTTTATGGTGACCTATCAGTGATCTCTCGGGCAGTTTTTCAGTGACTCAACCATCCAGCTGACTTACCCAGCGTCTATATGTGGAACGGAGCAAATCCCTTCTGGGCTGTAATTTGTCTTGAATTTGTCCCAGGCCTGGTATGGGTCCATGCCCCCAGGACTTCGTGGAGGCACTCTCCTTGCAGCTCTTCACAGGCTTAATCCTTACTCAATCCAGAAGCCAACCTGGGCTCCTATTTTTCTCCCAGTGTCCCTGCCCACACTGTCATAGATCCTAGGGCTGGACGAGACCTCAGGAGGTCATCAAGTCCAGCCCACTGCCCAAGGCAGGACCAACCCCAACTGTCCTTTCTCCTCCAGCTCCAGGAAGCCACTGACTGCTGCTCTGGACTTGGTCTGCAGTTCATTTTATCTGGTCCAGCTGGCAGAGCCATCTCTAGGAGGAAACGGGGCCTGGGGCCACTTCCTTGCTATGGCCCCACTCCTGCCCCATCTCTGCTCCACCCCATCCCACCCCACTCCACCCCTTCCTCCAAGTCCCACCCCTGCTCTGCCCATGCCCTGGGCCTACTCTGCCCTCTTGTCTCTCCTCCTGAGCAATGTAGCCTGAGGGATTACAGAGCCTGGCGTGAGACATCACACCAGAGGTCACCCCTTCCCTGTACTCACCATGGTAGTGGGGAAGCAAAGTGACCTCAGCAGCCTGTTCCGCCCCATCGCACCATCCTCCAGCCCACTGCACCCCGCTTCTCCACTGTGCCTGGAAGCAGAGCGTGCTAGGGCTGGAACGCTCAAATCCCTGCTGCCGCAAAGAAGTGGAGCGTAGCCAGGCCACTCTAGATCCCGCCACCATGGTGAGTGGGGGGGGGAGGGCCGACCCCTGCTGCTGCCTCACACCAGGCCTCATAACCCCTGGGGACCCATCCATAGGGCAGTTGAAGCAGCTCCAGCTGGGCCCTCCTAGGCCTTGTTTGACTCCGTAGCCTCACACCTCAGCAGAGCCGGACTTAGGGGTGGGCGAGCTGGGCGGTCGCCGAGGATAACTGTTCTCAGAGAGTAGTTACCAATAGTTCACAGTCACGCTGGAAGGGCATAACAAGTGGGGTTCTGCAGGGGTCTGTTTTGGAACCGGTTCTGTTCAAGACCTTCATCAGCAATTTAGATGATGACATAGAGAGTATGACTGTAGTTTTAGTCCTGTCAGAATTCACACGGCCAGTCCCTAGGTGCACCAAGATTCCCTCTCAGCATCCAAGCCCGACAGGACGTACACACCAATGCCCTCGTGCCAAGATTCACGCTCCAAAAGACGCCCAGCTACCCACTAGTGCTATGATGCAAACGTGCAGTCCTCATGCACTGGGGCCCTGTGCTTTTGTACCCCGATTCCAACCCTGTCTCCAAGTGCCAGTGGATCCTCACACAAAGGCTGCTTGGCCAGACCTCGGCAAGAGACAGCTGAGATTTTGGGAACCTGTCAGCAACCCCTGACAGCGTGGGCAGAGAGACTCCAGCAAAACAGCTTTTAAATGTAGAGCAGCGTGGGCCCCGCCCCACCCACTGGCATCCTAGAGCGATTGTCTGGGCATCAGACTAAAGGAGACCCAAGCGCTCGGCACTAGCCAGCTGTCTATTTAAGGAAGGCGCGAGGGAGAGATGGAGGGAATGCAGAAGCCAAAATCCGCTTGATGTCTCTAATTTATCTTCTTGTGTTTCAGAACTTTCACCCTCCCGCTCCAGCCGTGGGAACGCGAGGCTGACTGAACGCTCATTGTCCTTGCTAGGGGAGATCGTGGCTGCCCTGGTTTTGTGGCCTTTTTCACATTTCTGGGGACAGCTTCAGGGTGGAATACACAGGGATCCCAGAGCTGCGACTCCCCTGGGTGTACAGGGCTTGGTCTAGGCTCTGCAACACAAACATTACCCAGTTCAAACTAGGGATGTTAAAATGCGGTTAACTGACTAGTCGGCTAGTCAGTGGAATTTCCATCGAGAGGCACTTCCGCACAGGGGCGGGGGAGAGTGCCACGGGGCCCCGGGCAGCAAAATTTTGCGGGGCCCCCCCCCTTTGACACAGTGCATGCACCGTGGTGCCAAGGCGCATGCGCGGGGCCTCGGGAAGCGTGGGGCCGGGGGCAGCCGCCCTGCTCGCCCTGCCGTAAATCTGCCGCTGCTTCCGCATTCCTCCTTTGAAATGTACAAGAGCCCCCACTGGGGCTCCTTTCAAAGGAGGAATGAGGATCACCGCATACAGCCTGGGGGCAGGGGGAAGTCCCGCTGACTCCGGGCTGCACGCGGGTGCCTGCTTTGAAATGCACAAGAGTCCCCAGCAGAGGCTCTTGTGCGTTTCAAAGCCAGGGAGCCTGGGGAGCCCCTGCTGACCCGGGCTCCATGCTAAGCTGCATGCCATGCGGAGCCTGGGGTCGGCAGGGGCGGTGCAGAGCAGAACCAACCCTTCTATCCACTGGCAACTCCCAGTGTGCTCTGATGTCCCTGCTGCTGCTGTCCGGTCCCATTCTAGCCCAGACACCTGACCAGCTGCAGACTCGTGCCCCACCTCATTGCACCCTTAGTACCGCGATCCCTGCTGGAAACAGGGTCCAGTTCTGGTGTCCACTGTCCTCGACGCATGTTGATAAGTGGCGGGGAGCTCGGGGAAGGGAGAGACCAAAGGCTCAGAAAGCATGCCCATAACTGACAACTCCAGGAGCAACATCCAGGTATCTTAACAAAGGGCAGGTGAGGGGTAATTCAGTCTCAGGCTATGGGTAACTTGAGGGCAACACCTCTCTCCAATCTAGCCGAGAAAGGTGGAACACGAGCCAGCCACTCGAAGCTGAAGCTAGACACACTCAGACTGGAAGTCAGGTGCACGTTTTTACCAGCCAGAGCACTCATCTACTGGAGCAATCTACCCAGAGGGAATTCTCCATTACACACCATTTGCAAATCAAGACTGGGCGTTCATCTAAAGGATCTGCTCATGGCAGCATTTGGGGCATGTCTCTGGCCGGTGCTCTACAGAAGATAAGCCTAGACCGTGGTCCCCCTGGCCTTGCAATCTATGAAACCAACAGACACAGTGGGATCCAAATAGCACACAAGGTTTAGCTACGTATACACACAGCTGATCTGCCTGGCTTCCAGCAACCAGAACACAAAGCACCACTAGAGAGCTCACCAGCTACTGAAAGGGATCCCGCTCCATTCCTGTATTCTGCAGCATGGATGCAGACTCGGCCAGGCCTGCCGAAAGTGGGGAGGAAAGGGGGCAATTGCCCTGGGATCCAGCGATTCAAAGCGGCCCAGGACTCCAGCCACCACCACTGCTACTATGGCAACAGCGGAGGCCGGAGACCCTTTAAATCTCTGCTGGAGCTCTGTACCATGTGCTCCACATAGCTCTGACTGGTTAGCAGGGCACAGTGCAGTTGTGCTCCAGGTGGCGCTGTGGGCTGGCTGCCTCCATCCCTGCCAGGATCACGGAGCCGCCCCCCCCAGAAAACTTGCCCAGAGGCCCCCGGAGGCTATCAGCACCGCACACAGAGTTCTTGTTGTCTTGGACAAAAACAAGCAATAAGAAAAGCAGCAGCAGCCAAGCTCACACACAGGTGGCTGCACGCTTAGAACTCCTGTTACATACAGCTGTAGTGTGTGCCAATGTCAAAATTGTGTCCTGCTCTAAGTGGCCCTGCCTCTTAGCCCCATCACAAGCATGTAACAAACTTGGGCCAAGTCTATGGTGATATAACCACCCTGTGGTTAGTAGAGCAATAGTCTTCACATGTTTGGGATGAGCTTCCAGTTGTTAAGGAGGTATAGGGCAGAGAGTGTGTAGGGTGTCCCAATCCAGTGGCTGGGCTGACAAAGGATAATAGCTTACTACTGCTACTAAATAATGGAATTAGTCCCTTATCTGGTGCTGAAAGTCCCAGGTTCAAGCACCCGTGTAAAGAGAACATTCCTATGGATTGTACTATAAGAACATAAGAACGGCCGTACTGGGTCAGACCAAAGGTCCATCTAGCCCAGTATCCTG